GCCTATAGCGTGATATTTCCATTAAAAATTGAAACTCTGAAGTCTAAAAACTAATCTTATCCTAATCAAAAGGTTAAACTTAAAAATCAGCCTAATTTCACCGCTTGATTATTATCAAAAACACATGGTACTTAATAGATGAAGTACGTGATACTTCATAGTTTCTTAAAAGCTTAAAAAAGCCTTATACGAAATACTTGATACCTAATCCTACTTTTATCCATTTCATAATTTCTCTGTAACCTTTTATACTATTCTTCAATTTTGTCACTGCTTTAACGATGACTCCAAAAATCTCACAACAAGCGATCATAAACAAATGGACGTTTCGCTACACTTCTGTTGAGAGCCTTGAACGACAATTTAGCAGCGGAACTGCACAACATGCGGAATGAGAGAATGTTAAAATAACGGCTAATGAGCTTCTGAAAATTTAGCTACGGAACTGCACAACCTGCGGAATGAGAGAATGATAAAATAACGGCTAATGAGCTTTCACCAGGGAGTTGGAAAATTTTAAATCAACTGCATGTTAATGAGCCTCTAAGATTCATCAGGTTTGCTGCTTTTCTACGTAAATGGTGCACAATTTTGAACTAAACAACTTCACGTCCGACTTGAACTCGAGTAACCCGCTGAACTTTCTCGCTCTAAACTACGTCCTTAAGTCTTGTTCAAACGGGAAGAAAACTGCGCACATAATGTGATGGACTACGCTACACTCAAAGATTTCACGCACTGGCTTAACAACTACTCTAGAGTTTGCGAGAATCCAGACGTTTTACCCGACGCGCCACGCCCTTTTACGGGAATCAAAGATTTGAAAAACAACTAACAACAAAATGTCCCATAACCATGCGTAACAGCCAGCATACCGGGAAAAAGCAATAACTTCAAGATAGAACCAAGTAAATGAAAATGGTTATGTCCGCTGGACAATGAACATCATTACATTGTACACTGCCCAGCTTTTGTAAAACTAATTACGCAACAAAAAACTCAATTATTGAAGTATAAGCAGTTGTGCTTCAACCGCCTGGGTAGGCATAGGTCGGCTTGCTGTTCTTCTGCAAGACGTTGTATCCTGAACAATTACGGGTGAAAACACCACTCCAATTTATATAGGAATCAGGATAAAACTGCGCAGCGACCTGCTCAGAAACCCAACAAAACAAACTTGGAAAACTAAGTGAATAAAAAAGCTGGTTTAAAAAACCAACTCCAGTTTATGCCCAAGAACAACCAAGTGATTCCTTGCTATGTAATTCTCGACAATTGCAGCAGCTGTTCTCATGTTAATAAATGCACAACTGATACCCCACAGTGTAAGCCCAGTCAAACAGTTGAGTTAAGCTTTCGTGGTGCTTTCAGTGATGAAACTGTTTCGTCGAATCTGATTCAACTGCACATAGAACCTTTCAATTCGACTTCTGCAATTTTACACTACAATCAGTCTGATTGGTGGAAACGATCAACTGCGATTTAATAGATGTCTCAACGCTGATCAACTTATGTCCGGTATGACCATCTACGACAAATTGCTTTTCCTAATCTCTTCCACAATTCGGTACACATTCTACTCGGCCTCGACACTTTCTTGCATATCGCAAAGAATGCATTTTTAAAGGGCCTTGCCGGCAGTCCGTATCGAGTGCGGAACTTGCTGGGATGGACGATAACCGGCCGCTTCATCAAAAGTTTTTAGATGAGCAGTGCAACTATCATCTAACCAATTTCATAGACCTTAATGAACACGAGGATGCTTTCTCAAACAAAATTATTGAAAAATTTTGGAAAGTTGAAGAATCCAGCACAACTTCTCTTGTAACTATAAGACCATTTTCAAGCTTAAATTTTAAGCACTTAATGTTTATGAAACAAAGCATTCAACATGACGGAACCCGCCACTGAATTAGTTTGTCTTGGAAGAAAAACTCAACTACGTTGTTGCTAAAAACTCAACTTGAATCTCTACAACGACGACTAGAGAAGGACAAACTAACAATGCAACTATGCGACCAGCCATTAGCAACCGATATTGATAAAATTTTTTGATGCCCGTAATTGTTCTACATCCGCCACCGTTACAAATATGGTACCTACCGCACCATCCGGTTAAAAATCCGCCGAAGCCTGGTAAAGTTCGACGTGTAAAAAATGCTGCATCAAAATTCAACGGCGTTTTTGTTCAATTCTTGTTTAGACACGGGACCGGATCTACTTAATAACAGGTTTCGTTTGCTAATGAGGTTTAGAGAAAAACCAATAGCAGTTTCTGGTGATATAGAAGGCAAGTTAATGCAGATAGGCACAAAAAGACGATCAAATGTACTACAACTCTTGTGGCCGACTTATCAAGGCATTAAGCAGTGTTAGTATACGTGTATGGTCTTTGGAGCTGAATTCTTGGCCGAAATAGCCTTGCTTGCCCGACATCAAACACACGTCGACTTTGGCAACAAAGAACCTAACATACAGCAACTAATTCATAACATTTCCTACATGGATGACATCGGTCATTCCTATGACAATCTACTGGAAGTCCGAAAATCAACTGAGATTTCAAGACGCCACTCCAAAAGGATTCAATTCAACCAATTTGTATCGAGTACTACAGAAGTGCTTGATTTCCTCAACGAACCTGAAATTGAAAACAATAGTAAAGTGGGATACTATGGATGACAAACTCATCATTCAGTCCGTACTGAAAAAAATTAATGGCTGAAGAAATGTCCTTACGTAATACTTTTTCTACTGTAGCCATAATTTTCAATCCTCTGGAATTGACAGCACCATTTGTCATAACTCTCAAAATACTGCTTCAAAAGCTTTGGCAATCTGGTATAAGTTGGAATCGAGAAGTTCCTCATCCCAATTATTGAAAAAGTTACCCGACAATGTGGAAGAGATAATAATCTAAAATTACCGAGGTTCATAGGCGAACTCGACAGACACAGCGACATAAAACTACATGTTTTACCGATGCTTCTCAGTGCAACATGGAAGTTTGCACATATATCCGAAATGCAAACCAAGCCCCTAAACAATCATCATTGATGATTGGAAGAACCAAGTTCGCACCAATTAACCAAGACAGCATACCCAAGCACGAATTACAAGCTGTAGTAATTGGTGCACGTCTATACAAAATTACAACCAAAGAACCTCGACTAAAGTTCAGCGCCGTCTTTTCTGGACGGATAGTAAGACAATACTTGCATAGATCAATATTCCAGAAAAGCAAAAGTTTTACTGTGCGAGCAGAATTAATGAAATTTTGTAGGTTTCTGAAGCCCAACAGTGGCATCGTATACCCGGTAAACCAAACACGACCAACCACCTACAAGACGTATCCCCCTTCAGGACGTGGAACAATTTTAGTTGCAACCGACCGATTTCGTATTATTACCAGCATCTAATTGGTCTCACCGAAAACTGAAGGACGACACAGTTTCAACCAGTTTCCACCACTACAGATAAGGAGAGAACTACTACAAAAAAAGTCTACAGTACCGTTCTACGTACTAACGCTATAGTGAAAAGGAAAATAATTCTACTAGCGCAAAAAAGGGATCAGGCATAAAGGTTTCGAGTAATTTCGATTGGTTTCGTATACTTCCCACAATTGCTTTTGTTTTACAGTTCAAGGACTTTCTTCAGCAAAAATGGAAACGCAGTTTAAGAATAAGCGACCGGGAGGTTGCTAGGACTCTACTTTGCTCTTTGAGCAATCACAACACGCTATTTTCTTGATACTGTAAAACGTTTTACTACCAAAAAAAGCATTGGAAATTGGAAGATGATTTACTGCCATTTTCGCCATTCATGGATAATAACCTTATTTGAGCTCGAAGAAGACTGAAGCATTCACCAATGCCAGATGCAACAAAAAAACTCTATTTTTCTACATGCAAAAACCCTATTTTTCTGCATTCAACCTATGATCAAAAACGCACATCATAAATGCGTGCACCTCGCACCGAATTTGTACGCTCCAAATGAAAGAGGTTTATGTTTTTTTCGATTTTTTTCCTTGAATATCATCATGAAAATCATCGGGGGGGGGTGGTAATTAGTTATGGAGACCAAAGGTGTTAGGGCTCGGTATTATAATTGCTTGTTAGGTCTTAAAATCCGCTTATGATGCTACTGAAGCTAGTTCCACCGCGGGCCTTGTAAGTCTTCTCAAGGCTGTTTTAGTTTCGCAAGGGCGCGCAAGGCCACCAGGACCGTTAACGTTTCAACCCTACCCAGGGGTCACATGCTTCGTAGAGTAAAATCAGGGTTGTAGTCGCTTCCAGAAGCGGTCTATTCGGTCCTTGGTTAGCTTCCAGGATTTGTTGCTTAGTTTGTTGGTATTTGTTTGGGCGTAGAATGAAGCTGCGGCAGCTTAATTGAAAGTTCTCCCAAGTAGGAAGTGGTTAAGTGATGAGGCCTTCGCATTTCACTACAATCTTGAAAAAGATTTCTGGAAAGACTGTTTGATCTTAAAATCAATCGTAAGACTCGACTGATGATTGATACGAGAGGCTTCCACACACCACTAAAACACCAGTCGATTGACCTCATCTGAATCTTGGTTGCTGTTTCGTGTCTGTTGATATTTAAAGGTTGTTTCATGATTTGTTTACGTGCGGCGACAAAGTAGACTGCGTTATTAAAAAAAAATAGTTTGTGAGACCCACGTTGCGCCATGAATCTACTAACTGCTGTCAAGAAGTTTTCGTTTGTCAGATTGTCGGTAGCTTCCACGTGCGTTGCAAGCTTTGTTAAACAATTGAAGTGACATATATAGTTTTTTCTGTGGTATCTTTTTAAGCAAAGTAGAATGGGCTGATGTAGTCAAGTCCAACGTTCTTGAACGGATTTAGATTAGTTTAGGGGTCATAGAAGCGCTGTGCAGGTAGATCAGCCATGAAAGGGTTTATATTTTTTTCTTGAAAGCGGCTGCACAAGAAACAGAGGTGGCGATTGTGTCTCAAGGCTTTTCTGAGGTCCAAATTTAATAAGTTTTCTTGCAAGAAAGTTTAATAATTTTGGACCTCAGAAAAGACTTGAGACACAATCGCCACCACTGTTTCTTGTGCAGCCGCTTTCAAGGAAAAAATATAAACCCTTTCATTGCTGATCTACCTGCACAGCGCTTCTATGAACCCTTAACTAATCCATATCCGTTCAAGAACGTTAGACTTGACTACATCAGCCCATTCTACTTTGCTGAAAAAGATACCACAGAAAAAAACTATATATGTCCCTTCAATTGTTTAACAAAGCTTGCAACGCACGTGGAAGCTACCGACAATCTGACAAATGAAAACTTCTTGACAGCAGTTAGTAGATTCATGGCGCAATGTGGGTCTCCTAAAATAATTTTTTTTGAATAACGCAGTCTACTTTCTCGCCGCACTTAAACAAATCATGAAACAACCTTTAAATATCAACAGAGACGAAACAGCATTCAAGCTTCAGATGAGGTCTGTCGACTGTCGTCTTAGCCTACCACCTAGTCTTCGTTTTAGTGGTGTGTGGAAGCGTCTCGTTTCGATCATCAATCGAGTCCTTCTATTGATTTTAGGATCAAACAGTCTTCTAGGAATCTTTTTTCAAGTTTGTAGCGGAATGCGCGAAGGCCTCATCACTTAACCACTTCCTACTTGAGAGGCCTTTCAATTACGCTACCGCAGCTTCATTCTACGCCCAAACAAATACCAACAAACTAAGCAACAAATCCTGGAAGCTAACCAAGGACCGAATAGACAGCTTCTGGAAGCGACTACAACCCTGATTTTACTCTACGAAGCTTGTGACCCCTGGGTAAGGTTGTTGAAAGGTTTACCGGTCCTGATGGCCTTGCGCGCTCATGCGTAATCAAAACAGCGTTAAGAAGACTTACTAGGCCCGCGATGAAAATAGCTTCACTAAAACCATAAACGGATTTTTAGACCTCACAAGCAATTATAATACAGAGCCCTAACCCCTCTGGTCTCCATAACTAATGCCCCCCCCCCGATGATTTTCATGATGTGGATAATCTTTCAAATTTTTTACTTGAAAAAAAGGGTAATGTTCAGTTTGTTATTTAGTAAATTATCGGAGTGTGATCATCATTTCGATGATATATAAACTAAAAGATGACAATTTAAAATTCGAGAACCAAGAGTCTTAAATACTCAGATTGGGCCAAGTTGTATTCCAGTGAAAATATTTCCAAAAAACGAGCTGTAGAACTTCGCGGAGTTCCTCCACTGAAGATTTCAAAGGGCTTTTAACTGGATGTAATGTAAGAAAAGACTAGCTGACTCTACAGACACACAAGAAGTTTTTGCACTTTTTTAATTGTACCAATTTTTTGAAAGGTTAAACCTCTTTCATTTAGAGCAGGCTATCATTCAAACAGGATTTTGAAAACGTTTTTTAAGTCGTGCATTATTCTGTTTTGCTTATGATATCTCCCAAACAATTAAAAATTTTGCGGCACATCATTTTCAACAAACACGTTATAACCCGACACCCCCTCTCCCAATAAATAACCTCCTTTCTTACCCCTTGTCGCTTTAACCCCAAAATCACTCGTACCCTTCTTCTACTCACCTGCTTCCTCACCTGCGAGCTAACACCCTTACTCAATGAAGCGGTTATCAACAATTAGTTCGCGTATTTATGGAGACTGACTACGAAATGCCAATATGATCGCTGGCAGTTTCGATGCTGTTTGTTCAGTATGTACAAAATATGTACAAAGTATAAACAAAGAATCCAGAGAAAAATTGTCGAATCAAGCGATGAAAACAACAAAATCACTGGAGTCCACTGACAAGTTAGGGAAGCTAGAGAAAATATTGGGATCCTTTTGAACCGCCAAAACATCTTTGTCAATAAAAAAGCCGATCGGCATTTTGTGTAGACATCTTTTTTTTGTATAGATAAACGTCAACTTTACGATGAGTCCTTGCTCTTAACCCTTGAGATCCATGTCAACAACCAAAAGACCTTTGTCCTCGGATTCCAATAAAAATAAGCGATGGGCATTTTGTATACGCATCTTTTGTTCTTTTTGTATAGACAAACATCATTTTATTTATATGGTGTATGAAAATATTTTTAATGACCAGTTATTCCTTTAATTGCATATGCAGACTCATCCAAGTTCGTTGACAATTGGACTACGTGGAAATAAATTTTAAAAAAAGAAATAACATCGTGGGGAGGATGTGTGTGTGTGTGTGTGTGTGTGTGTGTGGTGTGTGTGTGTGTGTGTGTGTGTGTGGTGTGTTTGTGTATGTCTGTGTGTGTGTGTGTGTGTGGTGTGTTTGTGTATGTCTGTGTGTGTGTTTGTGTATGTGTGTGTGTGTGTGTGTGTGTGTGTGATGGGGGGGTAAAGAACCAAAAACCCAATCACATCATAATAGATAATTACCAGACAGTTTCGATCCAAGCAGTGTAGTCAGATACGCGTGGTCCAAAAGCGGATCCCTTGCAAATGTTTCCCCCACTAACTAAAGAAAAGAGGCACAGGGGTTGGTTATTTGCAACTTTATACACAGGTCCCCCTTCATCTCCTAAGCAAGTGCGATATCTATCGCTACTCAAATTGCTCCCAAGAAGGCAGACGTTTCCAGTCAAATTGAGAGACCTGAAAATACATGTGTTTGGTAAATATAAGTTGGCCTTTTACATGTTCCTTTTCAGTCTCCCTTGATTTTTTCGGAAACTATTTAACCATTTAATTAAATTTTTTATGTTCTTAAGCGTAAGCGTAAGCAAACAGGTGAAAAGATTCGACTTTAAAAACATTTTTTTCTAATGCAATTTGCCATATGAACAGTTTTTAAAATCGTTATGCCCTATTTCACGTAAACATGCAAACATGAAAAGCTAGTGGCATATATAAATGAAAACATACTCAAATGGGCACTGAAAAGATGAAACATCATTCCACGTGATTTCTTGAACTGCACCTGGCTTTTCGCCATCATAAAATATTCTCCCCATCCCTTGAGTAGTTAGTGGATATGGGCTTTTGATTTCCTGGTGGCAAAGATGTATACTCTTGAGCCCAGTAGTTTTGCTCCTCAAGTAAACCAGAGCAATGTCGTGATCAAGAGTTTTTGGATCATACTGAGGGTGGATTCTGTAAGAAGCGTTGATTTTTCTGTAAGAAGCGTTGATATTTTCGGATGTTTCTGGTCGTGGTTCTCGGAACTGGTCGTGGTCACCAACTTCGACAAAGATTTTTCCCGGTTGCGTTTTATCTATAAAAAAGCAACACAATAGTAAAAGACTCGGTTTTTCCGTTATCGAAATCATCGGCGCATCATTTTTGTTGTTCATGATAGCATGTTCACTTGAGTTCCAAAAACGAACAAACATTTGAGAGCAAAAGCGCTTCCCTGCAAGACTGGTGAGCATGATTAAAAAACTTAAGGCTCTTTTTCCTTTTCCCCACCTCGCATGAGCATCACTTTCACGTGTGATGTTGCAGCTCTTTTCCAGTTCTTCTCTTTGATTTTTTCCAAACCTCAATATAAGAAAGTCTTTTTGAAAAAATTGTTCATCTTATGAACTGTATCAAAGATTCAGCGTGAGCAGGTGAACAAATTTTTACAACTTTTTACACCGAAGACTTTAGTCAAGGTGTTATGGTATCGTGTAACGGGGTTTTTTTTTAATGTTGTCTGTTGTCAAGTGTCGACAAATAACGTCCACAGTTATCAATTATCATGTGGGCTGGACTATATCGCGCTATGTCATGTGATTGCGTATGTTTGTTTCTTTATTTGTTCATCTTTATTTATTTAATTATCTGTTCTTCTATTTATATAATTATGTTTAGTTTGCTTATATTTATTTATAATTTATGTATGTACATATTTATTTTTGTTTATTTTTATCACGTGTTTTGTTTATTTATTTAATAATTCTTTCTTTCATTTAGTTTTGCTTTTATTATTTCTGCGTGTGTATTTATTTAATTTATTTATTTTCATTTATTTATATTATGGGCCTGTTTGTTTGGTTATTTGTTCATATATATTTTTTCATGTCTATTTAATTATTTGTACATTTCACTTTTGCTTTTATTTATTTATTTATTTATTTATTTATTTATTTATGTATTTATTTATGTATTTATTTATTTATTTATGTATTGATTTATTTTTTTATTGCTTATTTATTTATCAGGTGTGTTTTGTTTATTTGTTGATATTTATTTCTTTATTTATTTAATTATTCTTTCTTTCATTTAGTTTTGCTTTTATTATTTATGTATGTGTATTTATTTCATTTATTTATTTTCATTTATTCATATTATGGGTCTGTTTGTTTGGTTATTTGTTCATATATATTTTTTCATGTCTATTTAATTATTTGTACATTTCACTTTTGCTTTTATTTATTTATATATTTATTTATTTTTGTATTCATTTATGTATTTATTTATTTATGTATTGATTTATTTTTTTATTGCTTATTTATTTATCAGGTGTGTTTTGTTTATTTGTTGATATTTATTTCTTTATTTTTTTAAATTATTCTTTCTTTCATTTAGTTTTGCTTTTATTATTTATGTATGTGTATTTATTTCATTTATTTATTTTCATTTATTCATATTATGGGTCTGTTTGTTTGGTTATTTGTTCATATATATTTTTTCATGTCTATTTAATTATTTGTACATTTCGATTTTGCTTTTATTTATTTATATATTTATTTATTTATTTATTTATGTATTTATTTATGTATTTATTTATTTATTTATGTATTGATTTATTTTTTTATTGCTTATTTATTTATCAGGTGTGTTTTGTTTATTTGTTGATATTTATTTCTTTATTTATTTCATTATTCTTTCTTTCATTTAGTTTTGCTTTTATTATTTATGTATGTGTATTTATTTCATTTATTTATTTTCATTTATTCATATTATGGGTCTGTTTGTTTGGTTATTTGTTCATATATATTTTTTCATGTCTATTTAATTATTTGTACATTTCACTTTTGCGTTT